GGTTGGAGTCGGAAATCATGATCTGCCTGTGGAGCTTGGGCAGCTTAGGGGGAGGAGGCCTTCTCCAGCCATTCCTTGGCTTTGGTTCCCCAGAGTCCCGCCCCTACAGGTGTCCACACTCACTTTGAGCCTGCTCTGGCCCTCAGTGTTGGGGCACACCTGCCCCTCACTGGTGGACAGCTGCTCCTTGATGTCCTCAGTTGAGCTCTGCAATGACAGTGACCAACAGCCAGTCCGGAGGCCTCAAGCCATGCCCAGCCCTAGTTGCTGCTGCTTCTACACATTGGACCTTCTGCTCTCTGAATTAGGCCCAGTCCTGTGTCTACATAGACCTCCACACAGGGGAAATGAGGTTCACTTCCAGGCCTCAGGATAAACCTTGGGCAGACGGTGCTGCCAAGTATTTCTCAACAGAAATACTTCAGGCCAGAAGGGATTGGCATGAAATATTCAAAGTGATAAAAAGCAAGAACTTGCAATCAAGGCTACTCAGCAAGGCTATCCTTTAAAATGGAAGGAGAAATAAAGAGCTTACCAGATAAGAAAAAGGCTAAAGGAGTTCATTACTACCCAACCAGTCTTGAAGAAGGGGGAGGAGGAGGAGGATGACGACGACTAAGAGGAGGAGGAGGAGGAGAGGAAGGAAGGAAGTAACTAAGGAAGGAAGGAAGGAAGGAAGGAAGGAAGGAAGGAAGGAAGGAAAGAAGGAAAGAAGGAAGCGAGGGAGGGAGGGAGGGGAGAATGGGGAGAAGGAGAAGGGGAGGAAGAGGAGAAGGGAGGAGGAAGAGGAGGAGGATGGGAAGGAGAAATAAATCAGAGGAACATAGTTATAAACAATAAAATGACAACAAATGCCTACCTATCAATAAACACTTTAAAGGTAAATGGCTTAAATGTTCCAATTAAAAGACATAGAGTTGCTGGATGGTTAAGAAAATCAGACCCATATATATTCTGTCTGCAAAAGACCCACCTCAGAACAAGACACACATAGCCTGAAAGTATAGGGATGGGAAAAGGTGTTTCATGAAAAGAAATGAAAAATTAAAAAAAGCTGGGATAGCAATACTTATACCAGACAAAAAGATTTTAAAACAAAAGCTATAATAAGAGACAGACAGGGACATTACATAATAATAAACAAGAGGATATAACCCTTATAAACATTCATGCACCCAACATAGGAGCACCTAAATATATAAAGCAAATCTTACTGGACATAGAGGAAGAGAATGACAGTAATACAGTCACAGTAGGGGATTTTAACACCCCACTGATATCAATGGGTAGATCTTTCAGACAGAAAGTCAACAAGGACACAGTGGTCTTAAAAGACACCCTAGACCAGATGGATTTCATTGACATTTTCTCTCTCTTATAGTCACCAAGTTGATGCTGGCTTTCAGCTGGAAGTTCAGCCAGAGCTTGTACAGCCATCTTGATTTTTCTCCATGCGGGCCCACCCAGGGCCTGCTTAAGCTTTTTCATGGCATGATGAGTGAGTTCCAAGTGTAAGTGTCTCAAGATAAAGAAATGGAAGTAAATGCAGGGCATTTTGATGTTCTGGCCTCAGAAATTACATAACGTCACTTCTGTCGTACTCTATTAGCTGAGGCAAAGTCCTACCAGGTTCAAGAAGAGAGATGTGAGACTGTACCTCTTGATGGTGAAGTGGCAAGGTTCTGGAAGAGCATGAGGATGGGAAATATAATTATGGTCATCTTTGGAAAATACAATCTGCCATACTCATGAAGCCAAAACCGTTTTTTAAACAAGTGATAAATTAATTAAGATAAAACTTTTCTAATTCTACCTCAGCCCTAGTCTATATTTCAGGAAATATAGACTAGATTGGAAGAAATTGAGAAAAGGTAGAAGAATATAAGATTATCTGATGGTGAAAAATGAAGATAATAGGTGAAAAATGAAGAAGGAAATGTTAAAAAGGAAGATGCAAGCACACAGAAAAGTAGATGTAAATATGAAGACAAATATCATTTATTTACTTCCTTCCCTACTCTTACTCTGCTACTTGTGAAAGAGTGGAGTGGGTACCAATGTGATTGGTTGGGAAGCTTCCTCTGTTATTTGTTGCCATTCTCTGATAGAAGAGAAGCAAGAGTGGAGCCCAGTACTGGATAATAATAAATGAATTTAGCTATTCTTTTCTTTCAATACATTTTTTACAGCAGCAGAGTGAGTTTACACACAAAGCCTAGGGCTCTCTCAGACAGCTCTCATTTATGGCAAAATCATTGTGTCATTTGAGAGGAATGGGGGCTGGTGTTGGGAGGAAGCAACAATATTGCCTGGTCCACTTGCTGCTTTTTTCAACTTACATTTACACTCTACAACTGAAGTTCTGATTCCAGTGAAAAATACACCAAGGGGCTCTTCTTTAGAGTAGATACAGGTATCCATGCAATTTAAGATCATCCATCTCAATCTACCAGTTTACAGTGAGAAATGCTAGTTTTGGTAAGATGTGGAACCAAATGTCCTTCTGTTATACAGGACCCTGCAAATTGGCTCCCCACACTTCCTCCTTTGGTCTCCACACTGTCCTGCTGAGTGGGAGCTCTGGGGAGCTTTAGAGTGGTGTGAGAACATCATGTTACAGTGCATGTTTGATGCTAAAGGCAAGATTCCTGTGATTAAATCAAAGAATTGCTACCCTGGAGCAGCATTACAAAGACCAGAAAGGAATATTTTCACCAGAAGCTCACACCAATTCCCTTTCAAACAAAACCACTGAGCATGCCTATGAATCAGACACCCAATACCTCTTAACTGTACCTTTAAACCTTCCACTTCAGGTTCAAAAAATAATGCCTTCCCTGAAGAAGCACTGTTGTCTAGGACATGAGAATGTTCCAGCCATGCCATTGATATGGGTTCCTGAAAGGAAGATAAGGAAAAGAATCTGTATTTTTCTTGATTTCTGCCCAAGCATGTCTGTTCTGCACCTTGGAGTTCTTCCCAGAAGGAAATCTCAACATCTTCAGTGGCAATCATGAATAAGAGTTCCATTTACTTAAAAGAATGAAACTTGTTCAGTGTTGTACAAATAAAATATGCCAGATTAAAAGTAAAAATTGTTGATCTTCACCTAAACTTCACCTGAAAGAAAGGACCACTTCACTCACCACTCACCTTCCAGTCTTAGGGCATGTTCAATATAGCTAACAATGCATTTATGTCTTATAAATAATGAGCAACCTTCAATATGGCACCTAAACTCTCTAAGCCTCTATTAGTTTGCTATGGCTGACAAAACAAAGTACCACAGATTGGGTGGGTTAAACAACATAAATTAATTTTCTCACCGTTTTGGAGTCTAGAAGTTCAAGATCAACATGTCAGCAGATTTGATTTCTCCTGAGACCTCTCTCCTTGGCTTGTAGATGGTTCCCTTCTTGCTATGTCCCCACAAGTGTCTCCCTGGTACCTTTTTCCTCCCTTAAGGACACCAGTCAGATTAGATGAGGGCAGACCACAATGTCTTCATTTTAACTTAATCACTTCTTTAAAGATCTTATCTCCAGATATAGTCACATTCTGAGGCTGAGGCTTCAATATATAATTGGTGTGGGGGGAGGGATATAATTCAATTCATAACAGTCCCTGTAAAATTGAGCATCCTGAAGATTTATGTAAGATGCAATCAAGAACATTAATTAGAAAATGCTTTATAAATTATGTCATCATACAAATATTGTATCATTGATATCATCACTTTTGTCACTATAATTATCTCTATGATATGTTGTCAGTCTCTTGGGAAGTATAAATTTTCCACCTTTTAAAGAATTATTGCATAGCAGTTAAGAGAACATGCTCTATTGTTGGCCGTGTGGCTTGGTTGGTTGGAGCATTGTCCCATGCACCAAAAGGTTGTGGGTTCAATTCACAGTCAGGGCATGTACAGAAGACAACCAATTGATGTTTCTCTCTCTCTCTCTCTAAAATCAATAAAAACATATCCTCTGGTGTGAATTTTTTAAAAAGAGAGAAAACATGCCCCAGAATTAAGATGTCTAGATTCAAATCTTGGCTATCTGTGACCTTCAAAGTTTATTTTAACCTCTCTAAGCTCAATTTTCCTATCTATAAACTAGTGATGTAAAAACAGTACCTACCTGAGGGTTACTGAAACTATTAAAAGAGGGAATGCACTAAAATGACTAGCTAATAGCACATGCTCAATAAGTGATGGTTGTTAGTAGCAGCATTTAGAACTCATTGCTGCTGCCTCTTTCTCAGCCAGCAGAGGTCCCCATCACAGTCACACTGAGACTGGCTTCCCCATGACAGTCTATACTGCAGCTGCCAAGCACATCCCCTGTCGTCAGAGAAAGCAGTGAAAGAATTAACACTCTGTCTGAAGGAAGAAGAAATCAAAACAAGAGAACGGGGAATAATTAAGGTTCCATGGTAAATGTTACGTGAACAGGTGACTGACCATGAGTTAAGACTGCCTAAGTTCTAGTGCTGCTTCAGAAACAGACTTTCATCAGCATCACCCTTAGTTGCATCTCCCTTTAGCCAATTCCAAAGTTGAGTTAATAAACATTATTCACATATACCCCAGAAGAGCAGTAAGAATGAATTAGCAAATATTTTTGTTAAGTTCTATGAAAAAAAAAAAGTGCTGGTAAATGAACATTTAACATTTCTCACAGTATTAAGCTTATTTCAGCTCTAGCACATTATATTCCACGCCTCGGTTTTTCTTCCACTGTACTATATTTTCTTTAGCCTTCTTTTCCCACACAGGATTACACCTCCAAGTTCAATTATTCTGTCAGTTGTGTTTTAAATTGTACTGATTTCTGTTAACCACTTGTGGTATGAATTTGTTGATCTGTTCCTTCTGCTGAACCAATCATCTTCACACCCACCAAAAGCTGGAACTGCAATTAAACTAAAGAAGATGAAGAAATAAAAGCATAGAAGGAAAGACAGTGGGAAATTGGGATTAAGAATATCCCTGAGGGGAAAACACACATGTGCTGAAAAGCATAGCACGGAGTGGATAGGGGTATAGAAGGCAGAGTAGAGCAAGGTAGAAAAGGATCCTTCATCTGCCTACTACCCCTCTTTCAGCACCAAGGACAGAGGCTCTGAGGGCTGCCCCAAGCAACAGTCAGTTTAGGGTCCCTCCCAAATCTTCCACAGAAAACGGATGCACTCAAAAGCAGCTATGACACATGCAGTAAGGTCTATTAGGCAAGCTGGAAAAGCAGCACGCAAGTGATGTCACCTTAGAGGCAAAAATGGGTGATTTTCTTTCTGTTCATGTCCACAGTCTCTGTGTCTTGGGAAAGGCAAAGTTTGCTTTGCTTGGGCATGTCTGCTGTCAGTAAATGGCTACAGGAGCTGAGGTGCCTAAACTTCACAGTCGTCAGAAATCAAAAGAAATCTTCAGGGTAAGTAGTTTTTCTTTTTGTTCCTACTTTAATACGCAGTGTTTTTCTGGAAGGTTATTTAATCAGTTTGGGGTTCTGTGGTTCTCTAAGAATATGCATTGAAACTCTGTACTCTCTCTTAAAAATCTAAAATCCTGAGGAAACTGATTGTATTTTTTTCTCATTTGGGGGGCAGTAGAAATCTGTTCTCTTTCCCCCCCCCCAAAAAAATTAGATTCTCATGGGTTCTAGTAGCTAAACCAAGGCAGAATTAAAAGATGGAAAATAAAAAAAAAAACTGTTACTATTCCTGGGGTTTGTATAAAAGTTGATTGTATTCCTCTTAATAGTGTTACTTAATTATAAGGGTCTGTTATTTTCAACTCCCCCAATTCAGCACCCTGGTAATCCAGGACTGAGGGTTTGGAGAGGCACTGTTTTCAATGGTCTATTTAAAGCACGGCTCTTTCCAAGTCAGAATTCAATTATTCCCAACAGAGATATGCAGTACTTGAGATGATGATTGTGTATGTTTTCTGTAATGACGGCATATAATTTTGAGGGTATTGTTGTTGTTTAATTGTGGGACTTTCATTACTTACTGTAGCTTATTGGGTCAATGGAAGTTGTTGCAATTAAGCATTTGTTCCAGTTCATGCATTTAGTTTAATCAAACACTATTAAAATGTATGCACAAATAATAGTGCTGCAATAGCAAAGTGGGACTTGGATTTTAAACGTATTCTGCATACCAGTTTGTACTTTATAGGTGAAGTTCTTTGTTTACTAATAGTAAAAGATCAGTAGGATGTCCATCCCTGGATAAAAGTAAAGAATTGCTGCTTGACATAGCATTGGTTGGATCTCTTGTAGCCAAGGAGAAGCAGATACAATATGAGAGTCTTACTCAGACACTTGTTTATTTATAGCTGAACATTTTCAAGGGTCTGCATGGTTAACAGTGAGCGGGGATGTTGAGCAGAGAAAATACTGACAGTATCCAAATGAATATCTGATATTAAAGCATCTATACAGAAGGCTGCTATGATGAAATATGAATTAGAGCAAATACTAAACAGATCTTACTCAATATTAAATTCAATTTCTAATGCATTGAAGTTTGTCATCAATTAATATTTGCTCATTGATTGACTGATACATTGATTTCCCCATTTTATCTCTAATTAGAATGATAGGGTGCTCAGTCCTTAGTGGTTGTGATGAAAAGTGAGGATGCTCTTTGCTTTCCTGAGCAGGTTTAATTAGGGGGAAAGCATATTACCTTAGCTCTGAGATCTCAGTAACCAGCTATGGTTTTTCTCTGTACATTTGCCAATAATGTAAATGTGCTCACATATGTAAATATGCTATGTATTTCAATACACTTGTGAATATTCATTAGGAAAATAAACTAGGCTGTAATTTTCAAGAATAAAATGCCATACAAATGCTAAAGACTACATTTAGTAATAATGACAATGTAACTCCCACAGTTGCTATGTGCAGCGTGCACCTGCATTGACTTCACTGAGCTGGGTCAGGTGATGTGCACAAGAGACTCTTAAAGGGGGAGGTTTTAAAATTAGTCCCCATTTCATTGTCTCTCTCACCCCAACAGTGGGTAGTGAAGAACATAAACTCTGGAAGCAGACAGCTCTTAGGTTGAATCAGCTCCATCATTTACTGATGTACAACTGCAGGAAGATACTTAACCTTTCTGTTACTTTCTCCATCTGTAAAAATGGGGATAGTAATAGCACCTACTTCCTTTGTTGGGTTGTTGTGAGGTTTAAATATGATAATGCTTATAAATATTAGCTATAATTATTAACTTTTAAGGCAATATGGCAAGTCCACATTGAAGCCCAGAACCAAAAATATCTCTGGAGACTAGAGGTCAGAATGTAACTGAGACCCTGGCTGGTAGCTCAGTTTGTTGGAGCATCACCCAGATGCACCAAGGTTGAGGGTTCAATCCCTGGTCACGGCACATACAAGAATCAACCAATGAATGCATAAGTGGGTAGAACAACAAATTGATTGTTTCTCTCTCTCTCTCTCTCTCTCTCTCTCTCTCTTTGTTTTTTATTTTTTATTTTTTTAATTGCTTAAAGTATTACAAAGAGTATTACATATGTCTCCTTTTCCCCCCTTGACAATTCCCCGGCCTCCCCTACCCCCCAGTGTCTTATGTCCATTGTCTCTCTCTCTCTCTCTTATAAAACTAATAAATAAGTTAAAATTTTTAAGAATGTAACTGAGTAAAAGATTAGAGACAGCAAAGAGATCCATGATACAAGTGATTTGGCCATGGAACCTGCCATCTAGGTGTTTTGTTCCAGGTTTAGGAAAACCATTTCTACCTGGAAATGACTGCCACATCAATTTCACTTCCAGCGTAGACATTAAATAAGTCATGAGTTTTAGATTGAAGGAAACCAGAGATCAAAGCTGGGCTCAACGTAGCCCTCCACACATTGTGTAATCTTGAAAAAGTTACTGAACCTCTAGCTCTCAGTGTTTTAATCTATAAAAGGAAGATATCAATATCTATCTTCAGGGAGGCTATACACATTAAAATGAGATAATATGTGGAAAGTACTAATGTTTGGCACACAGTAGCAGCCATAAGTGTCAGTGACTATTGTCTTCAGGAGGAGGTTGAGAACTAAAGGTGTTTGGTTTGGGTTTTTTAACTCAATAGCCTTAAGGAAAGAAAAAATATTATAATCCTGAACATCTTAATAAGTATCTTCCTAACAAATTCAACAGGAGCCTGGTATGGAACCAGGTGCCAAGAGGCACCCCACAAGTGTCTCAGGCAGACTGTAGCTCAGAACTGAGGTATTGAATATCAGCAAAGCAGGACATATAGCAGAGCTGATGGGGGCGTGACCACTGTCTGTCCCTCTGCTTTTTAAAGATTATGCTCTCACTCTAAAAGATGCTAAAATAAACTATAAAGGCCAAGATTAGTCAATACTTTGTAAGAAATTCAAAGGCTTATTAAAATTTGTAAGTGGTGTTATATATAATGAATCCAAAAGAGTAGAACCAGCAGTAATCTTCTAGTCCTTGCCTTCTCCACTTTCTCACCTCCCATCCACTCTTCACTGCTCACACTCTTTGCTGAGGTCATCAGTAATCTCCTAATTTCCAAGTCCATTAGACACTATGCAATTGTACTTTATTTGATGACCCCTTTACTTAGTCCCACTTTTCCTTTAACAATAATAGCTGCAATATTTCAAATGCTATGAGCCAGACATTATGCCAGAGCCATGATTCTCAATGGGGAGAGCAATTTTACCCCAGAAGGGACAATTGAGAATGTCCGGAGACATTTTTGGGTGTCACAATTTAGGGGAAGGGGAGTGCTCCTGTCATCCAGTGGGTAGATGTCAGGAAAGCCGCCAATCATTCTAGGACAGATGCTCAGGCCAATCCCTCTCAACAAACTCAATAGTTACAAGCCTTTGCATCTATCATCTTATTTGATTATCATAATAACCCTGTGGAGTGGATTTGATTATTCTCATTTTGCTGATGAGGAAACCAGGCTATCATTAGGAATTACTTAGAGATTGATTATTAAGTGAATGAATTCTCTAGGCTCTTTGCTTCTCCTACCTGGGACCAGTTTACTATCTGTTAGCATATCTATCTGAGGGAGAGAGAAAGGAGAAAGCCCAGCCAAGCTCTGTGTTATATAAGCTATGCTGGTTAAAAAAAAAATCTAAGGAGAGAGGAAGTTGAAACAATTAGCTGAGAAATGGGGAGTCATCTAGCATCTCACTCATTTTCTGCTTTCATCTCCCACACCCGCAACTCATCAGGAGCTGCTGGACAACCTGCTGCTATAAAGAATCAAAGACCGGAGACAGTACAATGCAAAATAAATAAATAAATCCGAAATCTTTGCAGTTGTGGTTCCAACATCAGGCTCAGAATTGATTTTCAGAGTTGAAGGTTTCCCTTCGCATAATTAGTCATTGACATTCAGCTGTACTATTTTTAATTAGCTGTCAAACCTCGGCGGAGTAAAATGTCCAGCAAGGTGGTAACAAATAGCCCCAGGTTTCCTCGTCCCTCTTACCTGACAAGTGAGAAGAGGCAAAGACATTAGCCAACCGCAGACCCCAGGAAAGAGTGATTTCTGGCCACTGCTTTCCAAGGTGGCCCCACTGCAGACGGAAAGACTTTCTGGGCCTTAGCCTGCCTCAAAGGTGAAAAAATCCTTAACAATCAGAAAGCATTGTATTTTTCCAAAAGCTCTTGGCGGCAGCAGTGCTATCTCCAGGATAACAGCTGCCCTTCTCCGAATAATGAGGAAATTATAATTATTATCAAAAATTATTATTATGCTTTAAAATATATCAAGTGCAAACAGTGTGCCAAAATAAAGAACAATTACATTGAACAAGTCTCTGAATTTGATCCAAGTCGGCCTCCCCTTATAATCATTTATTCATTTTAACACTTACACATTCCAGACTGAAATATGAGGTAGGAAATGACAGCCATGATTAGGCCAATCTCCTAATCAAAGCAGAGCTGCGGATATCAGGAGTGGTATCCGCCAGCCTCTACCTCTCCAGGGCCTGGAACAGAAGTTCCTATGGAGGCCCATATGCTCCATGTCTAATATTTTAGCCATAGCCAACAAACCATTGAATAAAATGTTTCATCCTTCTGCCTTGACAAATATGGCTTCCTAATCTGAAAGAACGAGTTTGAATTTAGCATTCCTGGGCCCTTAAGAGTTCCATACAAAATGTGAGTGGGCAAGAAAAGCTGTCCCCCGCACCCATCCTATCCCAGGGACTTGGTCCTCTTCTCTCCCCACCTCAGACTACAACCAAGCTATTCATCTGAGCTTCCAAAGAGCTACCACAGGAGCCCAGGGCCCCCACGTATACATGGCACCATCTACGCTCAGGGCGACAGATCCAGAAAATACCGGTGCTGGCCTAGAAACAGGCTCCAAGCAGTTTGGGCTGGAATTCTGTGATCTTAGTAAGCAGAGCATGTTCTAAAAGGGGAGTGTGGAACCGGCCGGTGTGGCTCCATGGTTGAGCATCAACCTATGAACCAGGAGGTCATGATTTGATTCCTGGCCCAGGTTGCAGGCTCAATCCCCAGTGTGGGGCATGCAAGAGGCAGTTGATCAATGATCCTCTCTCATCATTGATGTTTCTATCTCTCTCTCCCTTTTCTTCCTCTATGAAATCAAGAAAAATATATTTAAAAAATAAAAGGGGAGTGTGGGCTCTTGATGGACCTGCTCCTTGGTGCTATGGGAAGGTGTGGTCTCATCTGGTGGGGAGGATGTGACCAGATGGGGTACAGAGTAGGGGCCTCTAAAGCACAAAGCCTGGGGCCAGAACCCCTCTTGCCCAGGTCTCAGGGCCGTGCTATAGGCTGTAGCCTTCCCCCAGCACATGGTTGTAATGCTCTGCTACTCTCGGCACACAGGCTTTCCCATAGCTTTCTTCAGGACATGGTGACTCTTGATCCCCACAGACACACAAACTTGGCTCTACTTGCCCAGGGGGCCCCAACAGGCTGGTGTCAAGAGGGCAGCTGATGGGCTCTGATGCCTTTCCCACTCTAAGTCCAAAGTCCCCACAGTTTGAGGACTGGCTTTTCCCAGTGGGATAGTAACATGACAGTTGTTACGGCTTTCAGATGCCAAGGACAGCATTGGGAGAATTAAAAGGCCTGTATGCTAGTTCTACCACTAATAAACTGTGTCACTTAAGACATGTCATTCATCTCTATGGGTCTCAATTTCCCTGTTTGAAGAGTGAGAGCATTGGACTAGGTCAGAGGGTGGATGGGGGTGGTGCATGGGTCACTGGCCCATGGATGTGGGATTCGTGGTGGATTAGGGCGGCGGGGGGGGTCTTCATAGGGCTTAAACATTCCTCTAATTGGTAACCAATCTTTAAAATTAAGTTTCAAATGAAATTCCACACATGGAGCCTCTAGACTCCACTACTCTTGAGGTTTTCTCTCCCAGCCCTCCTAAGCCCTATGTGAGATACCAGAGAGAGACTGGGAGATTGAAGGAAGTTGAAGGAGACAGAGGGAGGCAGAGAAAATGGCAAATGGGAGCAATAGAGGATGGGAGGGAGGAAACAAGGACAGGGGGTGGGAAGCTAAGAGAAACAGACCAGTAAAAGAAAAAGAGCTAACACCTCTACCGCTTTCTATATGTCAGATTTGGTTTTCAATGTCTTACATATAAAATAGCTCCTTTAATCCTCACAAAAACCCTATGGGATGGGTTCCATCATGTCCTCCATTTTAGAAGAGGAACATGAAGCTCAGAGAGGTGAAGTAACAGAGTTAGGAAGTGGTTGGGCTGGGATTCTAATTCTGCACCAGCTCCCCATCTTACTCAGCCCTGCACAACCTCTCAACCTCATGCCCTTCCAAATGCCCCTGCCTCACTTGCTTCAGCCACACTGGCCTCCCTGCTGTCCCGCCCATATGCCAGTGTCTTGTCTTTTTACCTGCTGCTCCTTCTGCTTGGACAACTCTTCCCCCAGAACTCTGCACAGTCGGCTTCCTTGGGTACCCAGGTCTTGACTCAATTGTCGCCTCCTCTGTGAGGACTTGATTACGCTGATTAGAAATTGCCCTCAGATACCCTACTCACACACACTCCTCTCTCTTCTTACCCCCTTCCCTGATTTACTGTTCTCCAAAATACACACTACATCTTTTATTTATCCTGTTTATTAGTCTTTTCCTCCTGAATAAAGCTTCAAGATGGCAGGAATTTTTTTTTTAATCCTAACCTGAGGATATGTTTTTATTGATTGGTTTGTTTTTATTGATTTTTCAAACCTACAATCTATATATGTGCCCTGACTGGGTATCAATCCCACAACCTTTTGGTGTATGAGACAACACTTCCAACAAGCTGAGCCACCCAGCCAGGGCAAGAGGGCAGGTATTTTATCCTTTTGCTCATTTCTGTATTTTCAGTGCTTAGAACAGTGCTTGTCATATAGGAAGTGCTCAATAAATATTTGTTGAAACAATAATCAGATTATGTATGCAAGCAGCCCAGCTCCAAAAAGTCTGATTTTTACCAACGTTGTTTTCTGTCTCCTCCCAGGATACCATTGGGGTCACTGCTCTCCCTCTGGGCTATGGCGCCACTGAGTCAGCTGAGTGGTTACATCAACTCCACCTGCGGGACAGACAACTTCACGGGTGCCAACGAGGCTCGCCCTCATGCCTACTATGCCCTGTCCTACTGTTCGCTCATCCTTGCCATTGTCTTTGGCAATGGTCTGGTGTGTGTGGCTGTGCTGAGGGAACGGGCCCTGCAGACCACCACCAACTACCTGGTAGTGAGCCTGGCTGTGGCAGACTTGCTGGTGGCCACCTTGGTGATGCCCTGGGTGGTGTACCTGGAGGTGAGTGAGCTCAGGTTCCAGCTGCCCGTGTGACTGTGTTTGTCCTTGTCTTCCTTGAGCTCCGGGCCTTCTGGGCTCAGAATGCTCCCTTCTGGGACCTGTGGTCTGGGGAAGGAAGGAGCGTTCCTGTCCTCCCTTTCATGAGGGAGCTGAAGATTTTGAGAATAGTCATTATCCAGCATCACTTGCATACATCAGAACCAGGGAGCTGGGAGTGAGTCTGTTCCCAGGTCTCCAGTATCCAGGTAACCAGACTTGAGTGATGGGACTCATCTTTAAAATGCATGAAGTTGACTTTCTGTACCAGGCATGTCTCAAAGACATGAGGGGTTGGGGAAGACAGTCAAAAGACACCTTCATCAGTACATAGGAGTGAGAGTGTACAGGAGGGATTCAGGAGAAGGTGGGGGGAGGACAAAAGGAATTATAGAAAAAAATGAATGAATGAGGAGAAAACGTCTGCAAATAGATCAGACTTCTTTAGATGGTTCAGCTGCCCTCAGACTTAGTTCTTTCTTCCTGGGTATCAGCTCTCCACAGACTGCTGCCGAAGGAACAGACCAAACCTTCAAAGTTGTGTGTATACATATATGTTTAAATACTAGAGGCCTGGTGCACCTGCCCTCAGACTTAGTTCTTTCTTCCTGGGTATCAGCTCTCCACAGACTGCTGCCAAAGGAACAGACCAAACCTTCAAAGTTGTGTATATACATATATATTTAAATACTAGAGGCCCGGTGCACAAAATTCGTGCGGCGGGGGCGGGGGGGGGGTCCCTCAGCCCGATCTGCACCCACTCCAATCCAGGAGCCCTCAGGGGATGTCCTACTGGCCTCCAGTCTGCCCTCCCTCTGCAAGAGGCAACTGGGCTGACCAGGGGAAGGTGCCACCCCCATCACCCCACTGCTGCTGCCACTGCCGTCCGCCGCAGCCACCAAGGTGTTTTCATCAACACAGACTCCAGTCCCTTCACCACAAAAAAAATGAGAACTTTCTTTAGGCATTTTCAAGATGTCTCTTTTATAGGATATGACATTGCTTTCTTTCTTTCTTTCTTTCTTTTTATCCTCACCTGAGGATATTTTTCCATTGATTTTTAGAGAGTGTGGAAGAGAGAGGGAAACATCAATGTGAGAGGGACACTTTTATTGGTTGCCTCCTGCATGAGCCCTGACCTGAGCCCCGGCCAGGGAGGAGCCTGCAACCGAGGTACATGCCCTCGACCAGAATCAAACCCGGACCCTGCGGTTGACAGGCCAAGGCTCTATCCACTGAGCCAAACCAGCTAGGGCAGGATATGACATTTCTTAGCCCCTCCAGCAGCAGACCTTCATTTTTTTCCTCCAGGAGTGTGGTGGAAAAACCCTAGATCACCTTCTTGGATTCTTATTACACAAGTTACCAAGAACACTAAGAGCTTAGCCAATGAGTGGTAAGAAAAGGTGTTTCCTCTGCAGCTCATGCACAGAGGCGGGACTGCCGGCGTGCCCTGGCTGGCAGGCCCTGTTCTCTGTGGGAGGGCCTTCTCTTCACCACAGCGGCTCGCAGGCAGACTTTGTTCTCTGTGGGCAGGCCCTACTCCCTGCTCTTTGTGGGCCTGCACCATCCATGGCTTGCTTCACTGCGCATCAGTCCCTTCCCGCCCACCTGTGTGCACAGCCTCCTCCTGAGTGGTCGTGACTGTTATGGTGTCCCAGCTAATTTGCATATACCTCTTTATGTTTTTATTGATTTGAGAGAGAGAGGAAGGGAGAAGGGGAGAGAGAGACATCAATGTGAAAGACAAACATCCATTGGCTTCCTCCTGCGTGCCCCCTACTGGACATGGAGCCTGCAATCCAGACATGTGCCCTGACTGGGAATCAAACTAGTGCATGGGAGGACGCCTAACCAACTGAGCTACACCAGCCAGGCCTAAATTTATATGAGAGAAGTATTTCTTAAATTTGAATGTATTTTCATTCAAAAGTGTAAAGTAGAGTCAGGAGGTGATCAAGAGAAAACATCCATTTGCTAACAAAGAAATCAGGGTGCCTACAACTGTTCAAGAAATAGATATTCTTACCGAGAAAACATGCAATTTACTAAAGAGTTTTCTTAAAGACATCTTAATATACTATTCATATTTCTCCTCTGCACTGTGTATCATTCTAAAGAGGTATCCAATGAAGGATCAAAATGATGCTATGATTAAGAGAAATTAAAATTCATCAAATTAATATCTCAGTTAATATTAATAGTGAAGATGACAGTTAATTAAGTATGACATATCACGGGAGAGCAAAAACCTCCAACATAGACTGCCTAGGCTGGTTTTTGTATTAAAGAATGACTGGGAACTAAAATTAGACTTATGATCTCAACAGGAAGGTATTAAAAAAAAGAAAGTAACAAAGAAAAGGAAAAGAAGAAAAACAACTAGGATGATTACGAATAGATTTAACGGCACAAGCAGCAATTTTTAACCATTTTCATCTCATGGTATGCATAGACTACTAAAATTCTGCAGCACACCAAAAAAAATATGTTATTTTTTTTGCTGATATGACCAAAAAATAGGTATAATTTTTATTGATTTACCAAAAAATAATAATAGTAATAGTAAATACCTATACTTTTTGCTCCAAAGTGACTTTTTTAAAAATCAGGTGCCTACATAAAGATTGCTGGTACCAAGAATTATCAATCAGACGCAACTTTATTAGGCAACATGACCACTAAGATGCAACTCTATTTTATGACATATATTTATGGTTCAAGACAGGGCATTCACACCAGACGGCTATTGCTCTGTTGGTTGTTGTCATTTTTTTATTTGACAATCTAAGGGAAAAGAGGTCAGTGACCCTGACTCAATATTCAGGTATTGCATGTTTTAAAAATTCTTGTGGTACACTGGTTGAAAATCGCTGGGCTAAGAGAATACTCGGAGGGAAAAATATGCATTTATTCTTCCCAGTTAGGATAATCCTGATGGCAAAGGGTCTTGTAATTATCTTGACTTTTCTGTCAACCCAATTAGTCTGAGACAGTCTTAAAGTCAGAGGCTATGTGTTCTTTTTTCCTGTAGTCCAAACACACTGGTACATCATATGTGCTAAATAAATATTTGAGACATGAATGATTAAATGAATCTTTTCTGCAATGTCTGCATTACATGGTCAATTCCTGTTATATCGGTTGCTGCTGTGCCTATTATAACCATGAACTATTTTTTTAACATTCAATAATAATGAGGCTGAAAAGGAGTTAAAAGCATGTGATATTTCTGTTCAAAAGTGGGGCACACTTTAGGTGCTATAACCTAGTGTGGATTAGTAATAATTCAGCACACCACCATCCACCCACCAAAATGTTTCTGTCCATCCCTATACCTTACAAGGATTCTTAAGTCTTTCGGAAAGATGAACGTCAGAAACAAATGCAGGAAGAGGACTTTCAGTCTAATAAGCATTTTAATTGCCTCTGACCAGGGTTTTTGTGTCTGTGACAAGGTCACTCAGGTGTACTCTTTGGCTGTCCATTTGTGATTGCTTCTAGGACTCTGGATGAACCATATTAGAAAGTCTCTGTAGATATTGGTGTAGGAGAGGCATAGTGTGACTTTTCCACACAGATACTAAGGCGGCCCCTCTAGCCACACCTGCCAAAAAAGATAATGCCCCCTTCTGCTGAGCGTGAAGGACAACTGAGTCTGCAGAGGGCAGGCGTGAGATCTTGCCAAAGGCTCAGTGAACCCCCTGCAGGTTGGATCTATGTGTTTTCTCCTAAGAAAAGAATTCTGGTGGAGCCCTTGGTCTCCCCTCATGAAAACCAATATGCCCTCTGGTGTAAGCGTTCAGTCATCAAGAGCATGGACCAATAAGTCTACAATAATAGAAAGAAGATCTGAGGCAGCAGAGACATCTCTCCGCTGAGAAATGGGCTTTAGCGCCTGCGTGTGGTCCTTCTCACTTGCTCCTAGGCTCTCGTCAATGCACCTGAGTGTCTCTGCATCACTCCCTCCAACAGTCCACTCAGGATAGGTGGGGACTGCAGAGGGAAAAAATAGCCATTCGCCCTAGCTGGTTTGGCTCAGTGGATAGAGCGTCGGCCTGTGGACTG